AGGGCAGGGCAGGGCAGGGCAGGGCAGGGCAGGGCTCACCATTGAGGCCATTGGGGATGCTCCGGTGGTGAAGGGGCGCGGACAGGTCATCCATTGACCTCCGCATGGCTCCGGCCTTGCTGTCGCCGGCCTTGTGGTGGTGAAGGTGGTGGTGATGGTGGTCGGGGCTGCCCGCGCTGCCCGTGCTGGAGGTGCTGCTCCCGTCCCCCACGTCCCTGGTGGCCGAGCCGCCGTTCAGGTTGGTCAGGCTGGCCTGACTGTCGATGGAGCTCCGCGAGCCGGCCCCGTTCCGCTCCTCGTCCAGCATCAGCACCATCTCCTTCAGCTCCACGTTCTCCCGCAGGAGGGTCTCCTGCCTCGCCTCCAGGTCCTTCAGCTTCTGTTGGTACATGCCCACCTCCTTCCACATCACGCTGGCCGTGTGCCTCCCGAAGCGCTGCCATTCCCTTGACAGCTTCTTGCCTTTTTGCCGGTCGTCGTCCAAGAAGCAGCAGAGCTCCCGCAGCTCCTGGTTGTCGTCCTGCAACTTCTGGTTCACCTCCTTCAGCCCGCGGATCTCGTGCAGGTGGAGCTGCAGCCGCCGGTTCACGTCTTTCATCAAGTTGCCGTGTTCCACCATTAAGTTCATCTTTTCATTCTCCACTTTCCTTAGTCTTTTCACCAGCTCTTCCTTGCTCCATCTCAGCATCTCCTCCTCCGAAATTTTGCTCAGGTCTTCTTTAGACCCTTCCAAGGAATTTTTTGCCATCATCTGTGCCTAGGCTGCGTTTGCTCTCACAGGGTAACAAATGGTTCGGATTATTCGGATGATTTTTGTTCGCCTGATTTCCTAGAACTAAAATTCACTGCAGCATCTCGGGGAAGAAATATTATAGTTCTCCGTTCGGCGTTGGACAAGGAAGAAGAGAGACGCCGGACTGGAAATTCTGCTCCCCAATAGACCCCATAATAATAATAATAATAATAAATAATAATAATAATAAAAAGAAAACACAAACCAAAGGGGGAGGGTGGAAATGAAATAAAAAAGGCGCCCCCCCTGCCCCGGAGGCTGGGGGCGATCGGGAGCCGGGAGCCAAGCGCTGCGCTCTCCAAGCGAAGCCTCCGCAGGGATCGGCCAACTTACCCCGGGCAAAACAACTACGCGGCGGCCGCCCCCCCGTGCCCGGGCTCTCCTCCTCCGTCCACTTGTCCT